TTAATTTATAATTAATTTTGGCATTAGCGCAACTTTCGACGGGCGGCAGCTGCTGTACCGCATTACCAGATCGAGACGAGGCGAGAGAGGATGAGGTGAGGCATCAGCTAAAGGTCAACGCTACTGTGCATAGAGATGGGCTCGGCCACAGAGGAATGAAGACTGAGATTGGGATTGGGATTGAGATTTAGATCGAGTTGTGGTGGAGGGGGGGAGCGGGAAAACTATATGCGTTTGTACTTGGATCCTTGTACTGCTTGCCGAGCGAGCCAGAGCTGCGCGTCTGTAGCTTCGGCTTCTTGAGGGCAGCCAACAGCGAAGCCGAGGATGAGGAGGCGGCACCAGTTGCAGCTGGCAGCGATGATGGCAGCGTTGCTTTACCATTTGCTCGACGCCCCTTGCGGCCGTTGGCGGCCAACGCGGATGAGGATGACGATGTCGTGGATGACGACGACGACGACGACGATGAGCTGGCGGAGGAGGACGAGTCCGTCGATGCTGCAGTGCTGTTATCACTGCTGTCGCTGTTCTCGCTGGTTTTGGACTTGGTATCGGAATCGTTGGAGTTGCTTGCCGAGTCGCGCTTCTTGTGCGTCGTCTCCACTTTGGCCATGGACGCGGACGATCGTCTCGCTAGACCCGATGATAACAGCGAACTGTTGCCGCCACTGGCATTCGGCAGCGAGTGGCGTTTAGTCTTCGATTTCGATTTGGTCTTGCATTGGGGCTTACGCGGCGGCATTGGCGTCCAAGGTCGACTGGTGCTAGCGGCCACAGCCGCGGCGGCCTCATGAGCCGCACGTACAGCCTCAATCTCCGACAGCGGCGCATTGTAATAGTGTCTCGATGCTAAGTTCGAATTCGAGCTCGAATTGTTCAGGTCCTTCGGGTCGCCGGCACTGGTTATGGCCGGGGCGCTGCCGGGAGCCGTCTCCCCAGCCCCGTCCGATTCGCTGGCATCATTGACGGCCCGCTTCTTCCTACGCACAACTCGCACCACCTTGCGCAGGCGACTGGACGCCTGAGTCTTATCCACTTTGCTCTCAATGATGGCAGCCTGTGAATCGACTCTACTGTCTCTAGGTCTCGAGTGTGTTCGTGGTTAAAGTTTTATTTATTTACTTATATTTATTTTTTTGTTCACTTTCTTGTTGGTTTTTATTTTTATTTATTTTTTGGTCAGGCTTTGGCCTAGTTGTGTTAACAGTGCGCGCGTGTTTTATTTCTGCCCACTTGACCAACTTTTCTCGCGGACGTCTTGCTTGACGTTTAACGCAGACAATTAATCGAGTCGATCGATTCGATCGATCTTCAAATAGAAATGCTCAGCACATACAAAAAAAAAAAAAAAAAAAAAAAAACAAATATCAAAATCAGTTGAAACGAAAGCAAAATCAGCAGCAGCAACAGCAACAACAGCAACAATTGTCGGCGTTTTATCTTTTAATCATTTATGCAGCTCTAATCACACACACACACAGAAATATATATGCATATATGTGTATCAAGATATATATATTGAATAGAGTCAGTTCCGATTTGATATATATGTATATATATATATGTAATTATATATACGTATATGGTCGATCGATACGTTAGCTGCGATCCGGCGATGCGATCGCTCGAACTTCCGTTGCACAATTGGCTTAACGCTGCTTTCTTGTTGGCTCGTAGCAAACTTGGCGAGGACGAGCGACAATGACAACGACAACGACAACGACAACGCGTTAATGCCAATCGATGCACGATCTGCCAATTCGCTATCCACCATCCACACAGAGTCCACAAACCACGATCCACAGCCCAAACAGCTGATTCACTTGTGGCTTCGAAGCCGCTGAGCGCCGCACGCACGCGACTGCAATGTGTTTTTTTCTCTCTTCTTCTTTTTAAATTTTTTTATTTTTTTGGCTCAGCCTCATGAAAATTTCATAATTATTTCATTTTAATTTTCCTTTATTTATTTCTGTTGTTGTTTTTGGCATTGCACATTTAATTGCAGGAAAATTGCGAGCATAGCATAGAGATGCCAAAAGAACATGCGAAGACGATAAGACAGGTAGACTAAGACGGGCAGGCAGACAAACAGACAGACAGAAAGACAGACAGACAGATGGACGGTAAAAAGGTAGCCCAAAGACTTGGACTCTTACGATTCAGGCGGCGCACCGTAGATGGACCATACCGGGCCGATGGACAGACAACGTTGAGCAGCAGCCAAGCGCAGCCAAGCATGCGACAGATGCGAGCCCCGCCCTCCCCAGCCCCCAGGCTGGTCCACGTTAGCTGACAGCTCAATGTAATGGAGAGCGAGAGAAAGAGGGAGAGAGGGGGGTGGATTGGGGCGTAGATAGAAAGCAGCGCTGCAATCAAAGGATATGCCCAAGAAACCAAAAATGAAATACTATTTATTTCATTATAATGAATCAATTAAAAAAATAATATTAGCAAAAAAGCAAACACACTAATCATAATTAAACGAACATGATCGACACTCATATACTCTGTAATTCTGAGTCTGATTCGAATAGCATTTAAAGAACTTGTTAGGACTTGCCCCAAAATGGTTTGCTTACAAATTTATTGGTTAAACATTTGTTAAGATTAACAATAATAAGCAGGTATGCATTCTATCACACCCCTGCTATATGCAATTTTAATGGGTATCACAATAAAAAGGAGGCCAAGAAAAATGTGGGCATACATGCCATTGAAATTGTTTTCTCGATACGAGGCGCCACCAAAAAACACCACAAATTGGCAAACAAAATACATAGATAGACGATATAGGCGATATATATATATATAATGTATGTGAACTATTGTCCATCCATCATTACTATTTCTATTAAGGCTGGATTTTCAGTGCACCTTTTGTTTTCTTTCTTTGCGTTCCAATAAGGTTCTTCTTATTAGTATTAATTTTTTTTTCTTTTTTAAATATATGCAATTTTATTATTTACATATATATATTTGCATGTATTATTAGTTTATGATTGTCGACATCTAAAAGTTCTTGGGAATTTATTTAATGTTTCAAAATCAAATTTGTTTTTTTTTTTTTTTTTTTTTTTTTTTTTTTTTTTTTTTTTTTTTTTTTTTTTTTTAATATAGTATTTTAGTATGCCATAAAGTATAATTAGAATCGATTTATGATGAAATGAAGTTCGAAACAACAAAATCGATTTCGATTTGGGCAATAAAAGCATAAAAATAGAAATTCTAAGGCGAGTATATTTAGATCTCCTACGTCTTATAATCGATGTTGTTTGCCAGTGGGAATATTTACTATATGGATCTAGATATAAGCCATAACATAACTGTGTTAATTTATTGATGATAAATCGAGGTGCATGTTTTTCAACCAAACTGTTTTGATTTATGCGAATAAATAAATCAAATTGTTAACCCAAATATTATATACATATATATAATATGCATGAATATATGCGCACTCCCGTTTTAATGCACTGTAAATATTGTAAAACAACACTTAGACCAATTGGGGGTAGCTGGGCGGCAGACCGGGCGGGCTTGGGGCGTTGTCAAAATAGAAAAACAATTTTTCAAGTCTTTGGTTTTTTTCTTTGGTACTTTGTGGGGCGACGACAACTAATCGATATACAAACACAGTTGGCAACTAGAACTGCGCTCGCGAGACTCAATGCCGGAGGCAGGCGCTGGGGTGCTGGGGTGCTGGGGTACTGGGCGATGGGGCAGGCATTCGGGCTGTGGGGGTGTGTCGATTAACGGTGCCGGGGGTATCGCATGTGCAATGCAAAAGAARTGAAAGAAAGAAAAAACCGCATGACGCAGCAGAAAGAGAAGAAACCACTTCAAAACACAGGGAATAGGAGGAATATATACATATATATATATATATATAGATGGAAAGACAGAGGCAGAGAGAGAGCAAGAGAGTAATAGCAGCGGAGAAGAGAAAGGGAAGTGCTTTCACACACACACTCGGATGGTAATAACGTGTCAGAGCCCCGAAACCGAATACTGTAGAGCTCCCATGCACAAGAAGCTATCCCCCTCTGCGCTTCCTCCCCTACTCAGTCCCAACCCTTTTTTCTGAATAACGCGCTTCGCATGCCTTAATTCAAACGAAATCAGCACAGCTCAGTTAGCAAAGAGATAGGCAGAGGGAGAGGGATGGCGCGCAGGGGAGTGATGGGACCAGCTTTTAGTCGGCGCTATGAATAACATTTAATATTCTATTTGTTACCACATTTGTAGAGAATTTATATTAATTTATTAAATGCTTCAACGAAAAAGACAAAGGATATAATGTGTAGCAGTTAGGATATTGATTATAGGCCTTGTAAATATTAGATAAGCAATTCACAGCTATAAATATTTATATATCATATGCTTGCCCAGTATTATTCCCTGGATAACATAGTTTTCACAGAGTCTATATAGAATAGTTCGCTTTATCGATTGAGTGGCAAAAGCTTGAATCTAATCTAAGTGATCAAATATAAAATAACCGTTATAAATTGATTTTACAGAGCATTAGTCCAAAAACTGCTGAACAGACTTAAGCGAAGGGATTCAATTGGAAATAGCAAAAATATATGAATATATATTTAGTTAGTTATTTAGTTATTATACATTCATACATTAATTTGTCAGTTTAATCTAGAATTTAATTTACGCTTTACATACATGATATTTATATTTATGATATAATAGAACGTATTACACTGCGAAATGTGACAGACTAAGTATACACCTTCCTGATCTGACCGACACGATGAGTCACTCGATTGGCATTCATTTCCGACTGTCTGTCTGCGTACTTTTCCGTCCGTATAAGCGCAGAGACCTCGTAAACTAATAGAGCTAAAGACTATAAAATACAATTTTTATGAATTACGAGTTTGTCATTCTAATCTTCTATAAGTCAGACCACCCCTAACATCGATTAAAACTGAATAAGTTTAAGTTTTTTTTTTTTTAAATAAATATATAAAAAATATATGCAGGGTATATCCTAGTCGACCACTCCCGACTCTAGAGCAAAGTCCTCTTTGCTATTGTTTTTCCTTCAATTAATTTTGAGCTTTTTTCTTGCTGTTGTTGTTGCATTGTTGTTACTTATACAAAGCAATTTCTAAGCGCATATGGGATTGTTAGGAGCTGCGTCTTTCGGCTCGTTGTCAGGTGAGTGTGAGTGACAGCTGAGTGCGGTTAAAAAACCCGACACATTTTTGGCAACTGAATTGAGGAGGGGAGGATTTCTTTTTATATATTTTTACATATATATTATATATATGTATATTTATATCTATCTGTCTGTGTGTGGGAGGAGGAAGGCATGCGGTCAGATCACGAGATGTCTCCACCACGGATAAGAACACTTGGCAATCAAGCCCTAAACAGCGGAATCTCTGCATCTCTCTCAGTCTCTCTTTCAACCCCCACTCTCCCCCAGCAGCTAGCCACCCGCACGATCTTGCCCTGGCGCAAGCATTGCATACTTTTAGGTGCATCGCATAAAACCCACGCCAACGAAGCCCCAAAAGTGTGGGCGAACCAAAGCGATTGCATAAAGCGAGGCACATTTCAAGACGAATGCGAATGCGAATGGCAAAAGCAAATTGAAGCCATTTTTTTTTTATAACCGATCGATAAGAACAAGGGAGCACAGAGAGAGAGAGAGACTAAAGCAAATTCGTGCAGCTTTTGGCACAGCTGCTCAAACAGACAGCAACAGCTGTAAAATGACATCGGAGCAGTTGGATGCAACGCGACAATCAGAAAAGACTCTGCCAATTTTGGCTAACAGACTTTTACTCTGAAGATAAACGCATAAGCAAACTTAGATTGCCGTTACTTTCGAGTATATATCAAAATCAAAATCAAAATCAATTTCCTTTGAGCGTAGATCGCCGTGCATATAGAGTAGTTTATTTATTAGTCTTATTAATGCAAGTCACCTGATGATGACCTAATCAGTCCCTGTCTGTGTCTTCAATATTTATTGCTAAATATATTAGTTACACTGTTATTTGAGCTAAACTTAGCTCGAGCCGATCGAAACTTACACAAGTCAAGTCTGAGGTGTTTCGGATGTGGGGGTTATATATAGATGGCAGTCTACTGAGGCTCGCAAAATCATCTGTACTATCAATCCCTCTCTCTCTCACTCGTCAGCCCGCACTCCCTGCTCTTCCCTCAGCTGCTTCCGCTTTTGTCCTCTATCAGTCGGCAACAAGCAGTTGCTGTCGTTGTCCAAGCTGATCGCGTTGTTGTTGCTCTTGGCTATTGAGGTTGTCAGGCCCCCCTCAAATTTAAATCACATCGCAAATATCACACAAAAACAAAAAACAAATTAAAAAGCCAGCAAAACAAGTTGACAAATGTTTTCAACTTGAGCACGGAGCGGCGAAGGCACAGCAACAGCTGGCAAGAAAAGCGCCAGCAGAGACACGCCTCCAGATACATATACTATATGCAGCTTACTATATATACACATATACTATATACATATCGACATTTCTATATGTACTCAGACTGTTGTTTTGCATTATTTTTGGAATAAGTTTTCGGCGCTCGGCGCTCGGCGTTCGGCTTTCGGTTTGTCAACAGCAGCGCGTGATTATAAACGAAGCAACAACAACAACAACAACAATTAACAGAACAACAGCGACAAAAATGTTAACGAAACATCTACATATAAAGCACATTAGTATATATGGCTATATACAAATAATAATCATCATCTTTCACGACTTGACTTGCTAAACTGATAACCTGAGCACACAGCACTCGTGTCATCCCCTTATCACTCAGAATCTGAAGAGCAACAACAACAGCCACAACAGTAGCTATATAAGTACGTCCCTTCGTTATACAAAAGTCAGCTGTTATAATAGTCTATCTCGCAAGCATTATACATGTCTCGAAAGTTTATATCAATAGACAAGTTTTTCAAATTTACATCTGAATACATATGTATATCCAAATTCTATATTTACTACATAACACTTTATGCTATTTAACATTTTATCCATCAATATTTCATGTCTATCAAGTATCTCAATTTCCCATATACTTAATTCGGTATTATCTAAATATATTCTATCTGATTTAGAGCACCTACTCTATGAACTCTTAAGTGTTATATAGAGATCATCTGTTGTATATGTCTATGTATTTTGGCACGGGTCTATGAACTGTTTCGATTCTTCATGAATATTCCAACTTCTTTTATTATATAAAATATGGAATGTTATTTGGAATACGGACTCAGTATACTTTCAAGTGTCATACAAAGATCAGCTGTTATACATATACCACTTATCATGCACTTCAAGTCAATTCATATAAATAACTGGTTATCAATTAATCCCACTTCGATTCTTAATCTAATTAATATATATATTGTGTGGAATATAATCTAACGATGGGACGATAGCAACCATCCAAATAAAACTTAACAGTTTGTAACATATATCCATTATAGACCTGCTGTACAATAAAGCCTGCAACCTCGTGAAGTTCTTTTATATTCATATGCTGTTATACAAGAAAAGTTCATAGCTACAATCATGTCTAAGATAAAGCTTATAATTGCCGTTAAATTGTATGTTCCATTGCTTGCTTTAATTCCACTTTATACCCCCGTAATGTTTCCCCTTTGTTCACCTGTGCTTAATAATGCATAGCAATTAACTTATAGCGTTCCGTGTTTCATTCACATTCAAAATGCTTTAAAATCCCATCTCAGTTCATTGCGACATTAACTTTAATGTAATACTTGACATTTAGTTCAGATTTTCAGGCCCATTATAGATTATTTCTACGTATGTATAACATTTCTAAAATATATGTATCTACATAGAAATAATTTACAATGCGTCTGAAAATCTGAACTGTTATATCTCATTTCTGCTACATCCCACTGATCCATTTCAGTCCATTCCATTTCATTTTAATCCATGTTACATCACTTATTCTGCTAAACGTAAGCTTACTCTCGTAGGATCTCTTCTTCTTAAAGGCAATGACTTTTCAAAAAAAAAAAAAAAAAAAAACCAAGAAAAAGTGAAAATCAGCTGGCATAAGTCAACGCTGTCGTCTTATCAATCAGGGAGACCAGCAACAAAGACTAATGATAGCAACACTTTGTGGATTTATTTTTCAAACTAGGGCGTGGCACTGGCTAGGGCAGTGTCGCTTTCACTTATCAGCCGCCCGACAAAAGCCCCAGAGAAATAAAAATAATAAAAAAATACAGGGCAAAGCGATGATTTTTCACCCAAGCGAAACGACTGGAATGGATCAGTATAACATGTAGCGCTGAAACGTATTTATCATTTATCGGAATGCTATCGAGTACAAAGTGCAGAGAATCAATCAAAGAGATTCAGAAGGGACAGGGACAGAAACAACTGAAGAACTGAAGAAAATCTATACATATATAAAGTATATTAGAGCAAAGCTTAGTTAAACACAATGTTCGAATGAAATTTGTGTCTATTGAGGTACTTCAGTTGGTCTGCTTTGCATTACTGAAAATCCCCATTTAAATAGCTTACCAGATAGCATTTTACACGCTAGATTACGTTGAAATTAACGAAACTTACCTAGAAAGAGAAAGAAAGAGAGAGAGACGGAATTAAGATTAGGGTAAACAAAGCTGAATCTATAAAATTATATCACTGATATAGAAATAATGGGTAAGCAAGCTCTTTGAATATACATTTTATACGGATTAGTAAAGACAGTTGGGTTCGATTTGAAAAAAACGATAAAACCGTAGCGATAGCGATAACGATATCGATACCTGTCGAAGGCCGATTACTATAGTGTATTTACCTAGTATGTGCTTAAACTTTTGCACCACTTTGGTCCAACTAACGCAGGATTGTGTTCTAGCCAGCTTTACAGTCTTTACATTCTCGAAACAATCGGCGCCATCGTCGTGGTGGAGCGCTGTTTCCGCCTCGGCGCCGGTCTCAATCTCATCGTCGTCCTCATCCCCATAGCCAGCGTCGTCCGCCGAGCCAATTGACTTCATGTTGCTCCTGATGTTGGCATCATAATGATTATCATGGCTATGACTGCGAACGCGCATCTTAACCAAGCCAATATCGGCATCGTCATCATCGTCATCGACGTGGCCACTCGCATCGGGATGGGGATCCGACATCTGTTTGTTGACCGCCAAACGATTTCTATCACAGTGATTGGTTGTTATTGTTGTTGTTGTTGTAAGTGTGTGGTCTTTGGTGTCAAGGCCGCTGGCCGCCAAATTGGAGGCCACCGTTGTGTTGCGCTTCTTGCGCTGCTCCTCGCGCTCCCGCTTGAGGAGCGCCTTCTGTTGCTTGGCGAGGCGCTGCTTCTGTTTGCGCGCGAACTTCTCGCGCAGCTTCGGACTGCCGAACTCGTCCAGATAGTACATGGTGTCCTGCAGCCCATCCTTGCGATTGATCAGCTTGGCATCAATGTGCGGATCCTCGTTGATCTTGAGCAGCGGAAAGAAGATGCGTCCATCCGTGCCCAGGCTGCGCGCATCTCGCCGCTTCGCCGCCGCAGCGGCAACAGTCAAGGGCGCCAGCTCAAGCGGCAGCTCTTCCTCGGCCTTCACCTTGGCCGCTATCTCGGCCTTCAGGCGCTGCTGCTCCTCGTCCTCGTGCACGCCAATGTTGATAATGATGCCCGACTGCGTGTCGTCCTCGTCCCCATCGACAGCGACGCCATCGTCCTCATCATCATCCTCCACCTCCTCTAGATCATGCTCGTCATCGTCACGATCGTCCCCGATGTCCACCTCTTCGATGCGATCCTCCACATCGAAGCCTTGTGTACTGTTCGTGCTCTTATATTTAATGCGTCGCAGCGCATTGCTAGAGCCGCTGCCGCCACCGCCACCGACGCCGACGCCGACGCCAACGTGGCTCAATTCGAGCGCCGATGCGGCACGCGTGCGTCCAGCGACAGCTGCTACCTGTAGCTGCTCATTTCCGCTGCTGCTGCCCAACGATTCGCTGCTGCTGTTCGACTGGCCGCCGCCCGCGCCGCTCGAGTTGCCCTCGCCGACGCGCTGTTCGATGCCGCTGTCCTGGCTAAGCAGCAGCTGTTGTTGCTGCTGCTGCTGTTGCTGCTGCTGCTGCTGCCTGTGCTGCTGCTGTTGCCGCTTCCATTTTGGCTGCGATCCGTGTAGGCTGAGTGAGCCGCTGCTGCTGCGCACCGGCAGCTGTTGCAACTGCAGCAGCGTCGCCTGCGAGCTACTGCAGAGCTGCTTCTGAGAGGCGCTCGTCACGATGACACCGCTGTCCGCTGAGCCAGTCGACGTCTGAGTTAAGAAACGTTCGCTCAATGGAATTTTAATTGGTGCACTTATAATATTAGTGTTGCTGTTGCTGCTGCTGTTGCTGTTGCTGTTGCTGCTGCTGCTGTTGGCGAGCACCGCATTGGCGGTTGGTGCTGCTGCTTTCGTTGCTGTTGTTGCCATCAGGTTTTCAATGTCTTCTGTTTTGGTACTTGTGTGTCTTATTTCTCTTAGCCAACAAAGTCTTGCTCACACATAGAAAAACAAATATGTACTCGTCTATTGCCTATCTCTGCGTCTTCGGTCTGATTTGTTTAGGATCTTTCACTTTTTGTTGAATTTATTCTACGCACTGACAACTCGGTTGCATCAGAGTCACATTGCCTGCTCAATAAAATGCAATTTATATATTTTCTTGTTTAATGCTTTATTTTCATTGTTGCTTTGTTTTTATTGTTGAGAAAGATAGAAAGAAAGAGGGAGATGGAAATATAAATGGCAAAACATTTTCGCATATCCCATTTATTTTCGTGTACTTTTCATTTTTGTTTGCTTCTATTTTTAGAAAGAAAAAAAAAGCTTGTGAAAAACAGATATTTTCTTGAAAACAACTTTCGTTCGCCTGCGCCACGCAATAAAAACAAAACACCATAAAAAATAACACACACACACGCACGTGAAGAAAAACGAAATGTTTTCCAAAGATATTTAAAAAAAATAAAAAACAAAAATTACGAAAATCACATATTTCAAATTACACGCAGTTGTTGAACCAGCCTATATTATTAGTTGATATTTATTTATTATTTATTTGTATTATTGTTATTGTTAGCGCAATTTGCAAAGACTCAATTGGCACACACATGTGCGGGCGCTCTTGGGGTCGCGATTGAACTGAAACTGAAACAGAAACTGAAATTGAATTTCCAAATTATCAACAGCGCCAACAGCAGAAGCGTCGCTGCTGGCGCCGCTGACTGACGCATATGAAATACGCTCACTCGCACACACACACACACACACACACACATGGGCAGACACACTCGCACGCTCGCACACATGCGACGCAACGTACAACAATGAAACTGCGAAGAGAGCAGCAGAAAACAAAAAGAGAGCGAATGCCAGGCGCGAGCACAAAGTACAAAGCACACAGAGCAAAAGCGAAAGTCATTAAGTTTTATTGTGTGAGCAGCAGCAGTGGCGTCGTTTGAGAGGAATGCGGAATGAAACACACTGTCGCTAGTTACTTGCTAAGAAGCAGCAGCGACAGCGGCGATTATTTTAACCTGCAGCCTTTAAAATGGAGCGAAACAATGGGAAATTCACACACACCAATGCACACACATAGGCCAACATTCAGTTCTTACTCTAATCTTATCATGGCTACGACCCGAAAACTGTGCAGCTAATCAGAGTATGAAGAAAGAATGGAGAATTTGAAGCTTTGGGCTCCTCTTTGAAGCTCTTTGCTGCTGCTGTTTGTTGTTGTTGTTGCTGTTTGCTGTTGCTGTTGTTGCTGCTCTTGCTGTTGCTACTTTTTTCATTTTTTTTTTTTTTTTTTTTTTTTTTTTTTTTTTTTTTTTTTTTTTCATTTTTTTTTTGCAAAGCGGAGGTGTTAAATCAAACAGTAAAGTAGAATGTATATGGCACATGGAGCTAAGTGAGTATCGAATGAAGCGAACAACATGAGAAACGAAACACATAAGCAGACTTGTGTCTGGGTGGGGGGTGGAGGGTGCTCATAAAACGATTAAGCTTGAGGGATTTGTGGCGGGGGCTTTAGGGGGTTACAACTTATTAAATATGTACATATAGTAAAAATGCGCTCGATTGTACAAAACAACAACAACAGCAATAACAATAACAACGACAATGGTCATAAAAGGTATTGCCAGAAGGCAATTTTTAGTTGCTTGCGTTGCTCAAGTGCAAACAGTGGAAAATTTTCGAGTTGCCTTCGTGACGGTCGCTGTTTGTTGTTGTTGTCGCTGCTGCTGCTATTGTTATTCTTAGGTTGTGTCCACTTGCCATGAACTAGGTCCTAGCACGCAAAAACATTGTTGACAAAGCACAAAGGACAAAGGACAAAGGATACGCAGGTTGGTCGGGAGCACACAGCGCGTTAGTCGTTAGCGACGCATTAGCGCAAATTAAAGGAGTGTCGTCGTAGCAAAACAAAATGGGAATGAAATGAACACAACGGCACAGCGGTCTGTGGGCTGTGGACTGTGGGCGAAGCAATCATTCCGTCCGATCCACTTCAAGTCATATCGGATGACAAAGTTTGTATTCAATGGGGTTCATTAGAGTTTATGTATGCCCCTGTCTATATTCATATTCTAATTTGATATACTCGAAATAGTTATATTAGTTTACTAATTGTGATTTCTCAACGCTGGGGTCACACGGCACGGCAACACTGTGCAGCACCACTTAGAAACTGGTTAAATTCAAACTTTCTCCGTTAGTCGCTGCTGCTGCTCCCAATCATTTTTCTGGCCCCCTCGACTTGGACAGCTAACTTTTGACCACCTGTTCAGCTGTCTAGCTGTCTACCTGTCTGTCCATTAGACCATCAGACCACCAGACCACTTAGACCAACTGACTTCATTGACATTTGACTTAATTGCCTAATGACATGTTCTTCTTCTTTAACTAGTTTTCTCCTCTTAAGTTTGACGTTGTGCGCATTTAAGGGCAAGTGAATATATAGATATATACATATATATATATATATATACGACTTTTATCCACTGAACTTTGGCCAGTACAATAAACACTAATCCTTTCCTAAGCTACCGCACACACTAATGCACAGAGGTATCCCTATTACCGTTATAATTTATTTAACAACCACACAGAACTTGGCCCTGACGCAGTTGGCCTTCTTTGAACCAACACGTGTCCACAGAAAGCTTCGCCCCTCAACATTTTAAGAAATCAAATACAATTTACATGGCAAATGAGTTGAAACATTGTTGGTAAGGTTAAAAACTTTGGGACTTGAACTTGCATGTCGATAATTCAACGGCCAACGTCAGCCATTTAATAGTGGGGCCCCAACATTTGCCAAGCACACGCGAGTAGAAGGCAAGGCAAAGCGACGGGGAGAGGGGGACAGGGGTGGAGGAGGAGAGGGCGAATAGGTGCTACCCCCCGGCCCAACGGATAAAAATAGAATTGAGAAGTGGACACAAACAAGGGTTGTGAACAGATGGGGTTGTTCTTTCACCCAATGCCCATATTAATATCGATCCTTGAGAAGAGGCAACATGGGAGTTAAGACATTGGCATAGTATATCGACTGTATAGAGTGGAAGAATCACTTATATATAATGGTATATAATAGTATATACCTTTTCATAGATATATCCAACAAAATTCTTCAAATCTTGCAATGCTATTCACAATAGCCAATCACGTTTTTACCTTGCTCAAAGGCATTTGTTAGGTAATCCATTTCATTCTCTTATAAAATAGAACTTGATCAGAATTTGAATGTCTTTCCTCTCCTTTCTTTGTTGCAATACGAAATCGCTTTGCCTGGATTGACAGACAGCCCAGCTGATTCCGGTGCGTGTTAGAAAAGAAAACCAATTAACTGGTCAGCAGGTGTGGCCAGTTGGATTCGAAATGGGCTTGCACGGATCGCTCTGTCAATAGGTAATTGCTTTTAAATGCCAGCGACGCTACCAAATGCAATAATTGATATTTTGACAGCTACAGTTATTATTGTCTTCCATTCATATATTATATATGTGTGCACAAATACACATTTATAATTATTTGTTTTCGTTCGGCGGACATTAGGCAACACGAACTGAATTCCTGATAAGACAAAGTTTACATTTCAGCAATTAGCCGACGATTAGTTTCTTTTTCCATTCCATTCCATCTGTTCCATTCCCAGTTATAGATTACATTGCAATTTTAGCAGCTCCATTCCCACTTCAAGTTTAGGCCGTTCCCACTTATAGATTCTCCAATCTTATGGCCCTAATCTAATTTAAGCAGTTTACATTCAATTTTGACAGTTCCATTTCCATTTTTCATTTATAGATTCCTCTTTTTTATGTTCGCTACTAAATTTATCTGTTCCATTCCCACTAGAATATTCCTTTTTAAGTTTACTATCGAACCTCAGCTGTTCCATTCCCATTTATTTTTATAAATCTTTTGTCTATGGACTATATATATTTCTTTAGGTTCATTCCACTCCCATTTCTAGAGTCCGTTTTGATTGCATTCCATTCCATAACCAATTTCAATAGCTTCCTTTCCATTTTCATTGCCATTCCTGCATTCCGTTCATAATGGCAATTAACCAATTCCAACCGTTCCTTGTCTTGTCAATCATCTATGTACTTGTCTGTTTCTGTTTCTGCTTATTCTTCTGTTTTTCCACCGTTCTTTTGTGTTCCATTGTTTTCGAGTCTTTGACAAATAGACGTAAAGCCCCACATACAAATAACGAAAATCTCTAGAGGCGCTTTCTTTGCTTGTTGCCATTGTTGTTGTTGTTGTTGTTGTTGTTGTCACAAATGAAATGCAAATATTTCACGTCACTTTGTGTCGTCTTATTTTTCTTTCTCTCTCTCCGTCTCTCTCTAACTCTCTCTTCGTCGCTATGTGTATATTGCAATAGCACCTTTTACTTTCATGCGCTCACTGCTGAAATTGTCACATTTAACCCACAGATGGCGCCAGTCCCGCATGAGCAGGCTAGACTAAGTACGCCAGATAATTCCAGAATTTCCAGTTTATACTGCATTTAGATTAAAGTTTCATATGAATTGCAAATGATAGACTAACAGATATCCTGTGAACCCTTTGGTTGCCAAGCAATTTGTAGAACTCTCTTCATACATTATCCCAATTACAAAGTATACATATGTACATATCTATATAAATATGCATATACGCGCATTTATAGCTCAAAGTAGTACAGATAAAGACAAGAGCACAGAACAAGTGTTGCTTGGACAAAAAAAGTCTATAATAAAAGCAAGGGAAATACTTCTTCTTTATTTGCCTTTGTAATCAAATTAACTGGTTAAACTAACTATCTCCTTTGAATCTAATTGGGCATTCCAAATGCTGAGAGATGTTTTAAGAAAATTGAGCTTTGCGACTTCTATGAATGTTGATACTATACACATAAAAATCAAGAGACAATGGAATATTGAAACAAAGCAATGCAAAGTCCAACTAAATAGTAGATGCTGGCGAATGCGAGAAAATCTGAGCACAATCTACAGACTGCAAACTATATGTATATATAATGTTTGACCATCTGGACTTTATATACAATAATATAGCTCTAGTAAAATGCATGTGCACTATAAGTGGGTGATAAATGCAGCGGCAAAGCTGCTGATCTG